AATATGTATATAAGAGGTACTTGTTCTATTTATATAATTTATAATTTATATGGATTGTAGATTACTGATGAAAAATAAAGGAAAAGAAGCTCCTCCCCTTCAATTACAGCAGCCAGCTATGGTTTGTTATAGCCCACCCACATCCCACTCAGAGAAATTTCCCTCAGGGAGTTGAATGTAAAGAGTTGAACTCTTCAACGCTAAGAAAACCCAGTCCAAACCATTTGCGAATCCTGACATAAGGCAACTAATGTGCTTTTCCTAGTTAAATTATTTTTCCATATAATGGTATTTATGAAAATTTTCTCATTCGAGAGCTGGGCGCTATATTAATTTTAGTTTATGAATACTGTTATGTAAATTTTAGTTATGTAAATTTCTTCAAAATATTTATGCTTTTCACTTTTAATATTGCCAGTCTTTAATCGTTTTCTAATATGTTTTCCAAAAAAATGGAAAAAATGTGCTTTTTGTTCTTTGTAGTTGTCTGTCTGCCTTTTGTCGCGTGTCTTTTTACAAAACTCTTGCTCCCTTTACTCCTAAAATAATCAAAATTTGAATATTATAAAAGATAACAATTATTTTCAGTTGACTCACCGAATTAACAGTTGAACTTAATCATTATTTTAATGCTTCTCTCAGTTTTTACTTTCATTCTGAAAATATGGAATGATATTTATTATGTTTTATAATTTTTGTATACTTTTTAATAATGATAATAATAATTAAGGGGCTTCTTTTCAAAAACAAAAAATTATTTTAACTTTTTCAAGTGCAATATGCTTCCTAGCAAATGGAATTGGTTTGATCCGAATTTATATATGTATGTATATAGTATATATGTGTTATATTTGTTATATGTGTTACTGGCTATTAGCCTAAGGTATATTAAAAATGAACGATATCGAAAATAAATTGCACATATTTTATATATATGTACATATATGTATTAAGTTTTATGAAAAAAAAAATTTTCTTAATTATTTTTCTAAAACAAAAACTGTAGCCTCAAAGTTTATACCATTTTATTTATGTTTAGCATTATATTTTTTTTTATTTTAGATTAATTTGAATAAAAAAAAAAACAAAATAACATAAAAATAAAAAAACATATTTGTGTAGACAAAAACTAAACTTAAATCAAGCGAAATAGCCCATAGTAGTTTTTAGAAAATTCAAAAATCAAAAGTTTATTAAAGTGTTGAAAATTTAGTCAAATTTTTTACCCGTATATTTATGGTGAAAGGCAAAGATATACTAAGTAACAAATTTTTTAAAATGCCCTTTTTAAACCAATTTTAATTTAGAACGATCCTCTTTGTATGCTATAGATTACAGTGACAATTACAAGTTCAATCTCAAGAGCGTTATGTTATTTTATACCAAAATTCATTGAAGTTGTTGTATTAAATCTTCGTTTCTAGTATTTACCAAATCCATTTCAATTCTTTTAGTTAATGCAGTCGTCCAATGAATATTTAAAGTTTGCAATTCATGATGTGTATTGTTAGTAATATTTGATTGAAGAATAATTTGAGTATGCTCCCTTCAATTATAATTGAAATGGTTTTTTATCGTTCTGTTATGGATCGTCTGTAAAGCATTAATATTGTTTCTTTGATTGATGTGTCCCATAGTTTAATGACATAGCACTTCATTGGAAATGAGTGATGAAGAGTTTTTTCAATTTTCACCGTCATAAGAATTATTGTTTCTGACCCACTCTGTTCAATATCATGGAAAAATTATCTTCCCTTAACTAAATATGAGGAAATCAAACATACGATTACATACAATACTATATTATTATTTCATACCTTATGAATTTGTGTACATATTTTCGCTCTACATTGTCCTGCTCCATGAATTTCGTAAGGCAAGTTTTTAGGAATATTTACTTATACAACGCAATCAATTTCTGAAATGAAAATTTCGAGTTACTTGGAAAAACTCAATGTCCTTGTTATTTATAAGTTCAAGACTAAAAATTCAAAGTAAATTTTATTCCATCTTAAATAAATTTTTAATATTTTTCAAAATAAAACTCATTTAAACACATAACGTACATATACATATTATTCTAATAATAAATTAAACCCTCTGTACAATTTAAAGTTTAAAATTCTTTCATTTAAATATTTTTTTCTATTTTTGTGCTTTGTAACACCTACGTTAACACGTGCTAACTACATTAAATTATAAAAATTTAAATTAACAACAAACTATCACAACTACATATTCATATAAGTGTGTTTGTTGTATGTGTATGCACATGAATTTTTCAGAATAGATTAAACAAATTTATTCAATCGATTTATTTCACAATAATAACTTTAAATTTCATTGAATTTCCAACGTTTTTTTTCAAATTCTCTATACCTTAACCACATATTAGAGCGTGTTATTATTCTTGAAATTGTTCAGGTCAATAGCAATGAAAAAAGAAAAATTTTTTCTTTACCTTGAAATTTCTGTTTAACTTTCTATATAATTTTTTTTTATATACAAAGTGCATCATTTCCTACACTCGCACACATTTTTGTATAAACACGTAAGTTAGTTTTCGTTAAAATTTATTAGATACTTGATATTTTTATTAATAAATGTACATAAATTATTGTTTGAAATTGAATTTATTTTATAAAATAATTAAAGCAGAAAAGAAGAAAAGAATTTTTACATACACATACGAATATCTTTCTCATACGCTTGCGAGGGTGAATTAATCGAAATCCGAATTTTATTTATTTTTTCAGTTTAAATTGTTCAGTAAGTGCGAAAAATTAAACAAAAAAAAACGCAAAATTCTTTTACATATATCTCTTCTATCAAATAATTGGAGGGTGGAAGAGGAAATTTGCAGCAAACGAATATTAAGCACCTAGGATTTTTCTTAATTGTATTGAAGTTTTCAATTGAGTGCTTGAATTTAAGCACCTATTTAAAATGAATCCATAATAACTAAACAAAAAATTATTGAAAAAATCAATTTTTATAAAAATTTTACAAATATGTAAATTTTTTCTAAGTTGGCTGAAACAACACCTTGACATCTACTTTGCAAATAAAACATAAAACTAGCAATGTCACATGATCCAAGTTGAAAATAAAAAATTTTTGATAATTCCCATATACATGGTTCAAGTTGTAAAGTTTTTGTTTTGTAAATGCAAGGAAAGTTTGTTGTTTTCATTTTGTTTGCATTACCTTCAATTGCCAAAGGGTCAAATTATGAATTACAGTAAAATTATAAATTATTTAGAAATTTTAAATGGAACTATGAAAAACAAATTATGTGACAATAACTGATGACATCTAATAAAAGTTCAAAATTATGATCCAAAATGCAAATTGTAAGCAGTGCATTATTTTTGCATATCAAGAAAACTGTTTTATAAGCATTGCTTTATTGTGACGTTCTATATTTAAACAAAAAAAAAACGGTAACAAATTCGCACAAAAGCTTAAATGGTTTAAATTAAACCTCTGTTTTGTTCCTCTGGTTTGGAATACAAATACAAATGTCGAATTATTATTTATTTGTTATTTGAAATTTATAAATTTCAAAATTAAGATTGTTTGTTTATTTTATTCTGAAAAATCTTTATTTCTTTACTGATTTTGAAGATTTCTTTATTAAAATAAATAAATAATCATATACGACAAATCCCTTTAGCTTTGTACTTGTCTTATGTAGATGATTGTTAATAATACAAAAAGAAATTATCATACATACATATATGTACATACATGTCATACAATATTTAATAATATTCACACACAAGAATGTTGATTTTGGTCACGTTTCTCATAATGGTTATTTTATAAAATATTTCTCACACGCTCAATATTATGATTTGTTTAAAATCCCAATATGAAAATGAAGTACTATTCATGGAATTATTATTCATTAAGCTGTTTGTTCTAACAAAAGGTTTTTAAAAAATTGTATTCATATGTATTTGAATTTGAGGATTCCTATTGCGTTTCTTATTCATTCTAGTTATAAATTCATAATATTTTTGTATAAAAATTACGCATAAATAAATTTAAAATTTTATATTATTTTATTATTAAAAAATGTGTTAGCTGTGTCATTGAATTTGTGGTTGTTAATTAATAGGATATTTCTGTAAAAGAAGACGCGTTAACTATCTTCTCTGCTTCTTGACAATTGTTTAACAAAAGGAAAATATTTTGGTAATTGTCGTTATCATTGTCACAAAAAAATGAATGAAAGGAAAAATTAGTGAAAAACAAAAACTACATTTGACCAACGAAAATATGAGCGATTGATAGGATGACACAGACTTTGTTTCCATATAATATTTCAATGCATAATTTCAACAATTTTTGATAAAAAAGTTTTGAAAAAAAAAAATGAATTATTTTCTCTTTGATTTTCACGATTTTTACTAGAGAATTTAAAATTCGAAAGTTAAATTTTAAAGAATAAATCCTTTTTGATTCCTTACTTAAAATATTTCTCATGTTTCGTATCAATAAGGCTATACAAAGCTAATTTTACATTCTTAGAAGCTAATATTGTTCAGCTATTGTTTTTTTTTAAAGTTATGCAAATATTTCCTAATGAATAATTCAAGTTTTTTACATTTTTGAATTAAAAAACAGGATTTACAAATCCCAGCACACTTATTATAAAATCCCTCAACACTTATTATACAAGAATAATAATGGCAATAAAATTCCATATTTAGAATGAAAATAAATTACTAGCGAAAATATTTTGCATTTAACTTAGTGTAATTTTAAATATAAAAAAATGTAAATGAATTGTTTTTTAAAATTAAAAAAAAAAATTAGCATCCAATAAAGCAAAAAAATTAAAAATTTCAATTTAAAAAGAAAAATAAGCGTAATTAATCTTTTATGTTCTTTAACTGTGAACTTCAAGCATACTACATACGTACATTAATATATAAATTGAATAAATAAATTTATTGTCTTATTTCAGTTCTATTTTTCTATTTTCATTTCAGTTCTAAATAAATTTGAAAAATAAAATGCCATATGTGATATAATTATTTAAAAATTAAAACATTTAATTAATAATTTAAATGAATTAAATTAATTTTAATTGAAGATTTGTCGAAAACAATTAAAATTATTTAAAAAAAAATTAATTAATAAAATAGTATTATAGTGTTAAACAAATCGAAATATTAAAAAATATTATATTTTGTTATTTCAATTGTTATATTTTTTAAAACTATGTGCGACATAAATTTATAAAATCAATTTCAAACTCTAAATATAATGTAATTTCGAATAATTTCAGTGTTTCTATGTTCCTAATTAAAAAAAAAATATAACATAAATATTTAATATGCGCTTAAAACGAATAACGGTGCTTTAGTAACAAATTTTTGGCGTAAAATAAAATTAATAAAAATTAATTAATAAAAAATAATTGCTCAATATACAATACTTTTAAACTTATAAAACTAAAATTTAATTATTAACAATAGAAAATTAAAATTAAAATTTATTTTAAAAACTATAAAAAAAGCTTTAAATATTTTTAATTTATTTTAATTTCAGTGTTAAGAAATTTATGATTTTTTATTTTTCTTTATAAGATAAAACTGTTATACAATTTTTATTGTTACAAAAGTCCTGTGAAATTTTTTTTTGTTTTTCTCAAATTTAAACAAAATCGCTAAAAATATAAAAATTTAAAAATACAATACGAATATAAATTCCATTATTTAAAGCTAATCTTCCTAAATCCGGTTGTATTTATAATACACAAATGTAATTTATATATACGTATCTACATCTTTTTATGAATAAAAATTTTCTAAAATAAAATTTAATTTTACTTTTAGTTTTATTACATAAAACTAAAATAAAAAAAATATAAAATACAAGGATTTAAAAATAAATAAAAAATAAAGAAAAATAATAATATTTTGAATTACAACTAGATTTTGTGGTTAAAGCTATAGGAAAAAGACAATAACAAAAAAAACCTAAAAGATTAAATCAAATAACCCAAATAAATAAATAAACAAACAAACAAATAAACAAAAAATAATAGAAAAGAACATAGAGAAGTGAACCAAAATGTAAAAAAAAAAAGGAAAACCTCAATATACAAGTATACCACTTTTACTATTGTTCGCATTCTTAAATATACGTAAGTAAACGTAGGTAACAAACGTCGTTACTATTTTCTTCTCGTTCTTAAGCAAAAATTAAAAAAAGCCAACCACAGAAAAATATAAATAAAAATACAAAACGGAAAAGGGAATAAATCACAAAACAAAAAAAACAAAAAGAAATTGAAATAGAAAACAGAAAATGTCAAAATATACTGTGATACTTACACTCATAATATAATATAAAAATGGAGGTTAAAATAATAATCCTTCAAAAATCTTACAAATTTTATCCTTGATTTTTAGAAGATTTTGTAAATACAAAATAAAATATAAAAAAAATATTTGAAGTGTTATATACATAAATCTATACATATATATATATGTATAACATTTTATTTATTATATATTACGACGTATATGCGTGCATGTAACAAAATATTATGAAGATAAAAGTGTCGAAATATTAAAACGATATGATATTATTGATATTGTATAACCACTTTAATTTGTAACAGCTTCTCACTTATATATGTACAATTATTAATATTTATGAATTACTGTTATACAATTTATTTAATTATTTCCTCTTTTCTAAAAATTAATAACAAAGTGTTAATATTATGGTTCATTTAAAATTTTTAATAATTAAATAAATTAATATAAAATAAAATAGATATTAATAAATAATAGATGATGCGTATCGTATAAAATAATTCAAATTAACAAAATAAGTGGCTAAAAAGTGTATAATTAATTTAATAACATTAATAAATTAATTAATAAATAATTGAATAAAAAGCGTATAACTGTTATACAAATATATAAAAGTGATGTACATATAATTTATTTAATATTATAATCAACAAAGCAAAAATTGATTTTTAAATGTAATTAAACTAAAAAAAAAGTAAAACTGGTTATACAATAAATCACATTTTAATATATCACCTATTTTTTATAAATTACAATAATGTGTTATACTCCGAACTCTAGAAATCGGTAAAAATTCTGTTAAATTTATAACAAAAACAAAATCTCTCTCTCTCTATCTCTCTCTCCCTCACTCATTATATATATCCATATACTAATTGAAACAATAATATACAAATTAACAAAAAAAAAACAGACAACAAAAATAAAATAAAATAAAAAAATCACATAAAACTTCCCCCGAAGCAATAACAAAAAATAATATAACAGATAATAATAAACTAATATAATAATTTAAAAATATTTAAATATACATAAATATATATATATAAAATTTTCTTTTTGATTTCGAACGTCAATGACAGAACGTGTTTTCAATGGAGGGCGACACAGTCGTGTTAGTCCATCACCAGGACGTGGTAGTAAAGTTGCTTATTCACCATTACCAAGATCAGATCCACAGGATATGGAATTAAATAGAAATTGTTTAGCGATTCCATTATCATCGATTCAAACTGAAAAAACACCAGGTAAGAATGTTGCGGATTTGTGAAAAACTACAAAAAAAAAAGAAAATAAATTAATTCTACGTAAATAAAAATTGCATATTTTTTTTAATATTTAGAAATATTTACACATTAGTTGAGTTGTGTGCTGTTCTGTATTTTTTGTATGTCATTTAATTTTGGAAATTTTTAATTGTATTATAATTAATTTTTGTTTTACTGCAAGCTGTTTTTTATTTATTTTGAATTTTTCTTATTATTGTTGTTGTTTTAAATAATTTCTATATGGCAATAATGTAGAAAGTTTCATCCATTATAAATTGTTGCAATTTTTCCAGAATGCATAAAATAAATTTTAGAATTTTTTTTCGCACGTGCCAGTAATTATAGATGATATAAGAATGAATTTGTTTGTTTCAAAAATATATTTTACTTTGTACGGATGCTTAATATAAGCATAATGTACGTATATATGAAATAATAAATAATGAAGTTTACTTTTTTAATTAGGAAATTTATAAACTATTTATATACGTACGATGATATCATAACTTGATACGGGTAATTCATAAACTGTAGGTATAATATTTTCTTAGCATAAATTTTGATATTTGGCGTCGACATAAGTTCGAAATGATTGGTGTCTCTTTAACTATTTTTAAATATATAAAGTTTGCATTCTAGCTGAAAGTGGTTTTATTATTAAACTGGAATTTGATTTGTATGTGTAATATCGAACATATTTCTATTCAAAACCAAGTAAGGTTTTTACTGTTCTTAAACATTGGACCGTTTTAAGAATCGTATTACGTGCATTTATTACAGAATGAGAAATCTTTTCATTCTGTAATGATTATATTTCGTTCCGTTAAGAGGTGTGCATCGTTATTCCGAACAAGTACACCTTACAACATATCTTGTATCTACACAATTTTTAACAATCGCACACTTTTTAGAGATTAGGTTAAAATCTAGAATCGTTCCAGAAGTAAACTTATCAGACTGCAAAGATTTCATGGGTGCTTGAATATCAGTAAAGATGTTAATGTCATCAGCTTTTGCCATCAACATACTTATATACAATATTTATATTGATTTGTCCAAAAATTTTAACCTTTTATTAAATCAAGGCCACGTGATTCTTCCATTAAAAACTAAAAGTAAAATGAATTTGTTCAATATTTTATTTGCTATAATTATTAAATTTATTGAATTTTCTTTAATATCCGCCCCGATAAAACTAAAACAATGCCTGAAACTAAATAATGATTTTTTGTTCTATTTATTCATGTGCAAAATTTTTTAATTTGTTGAATGCTATTGCTTTTTGTTTTCTTGTTCTTCATTATGATTGAAAGTTAAAAAAAATATGCATTGTTTATTCGAGGACCATTAAATTCAAGTGATCTATCATTATAATAAAAAGTATAAGTACAATAAAATGTGCAATAAAATGTAGAATATAAAGTGGTGATTAAAAATTTAATAGGTTTCAAATTTTGAATAGCGTATCAAAGTGATGTAAAATATTAATATACTAGATTATTTCACTAAACAAATTCAATTTAATTAATAAATTAATTAATTAATTTAAACAACTTGGTTGATGAAATTTAAGATTTAGTTAGCTATAGTTAGCTAAAGAGGGGAGGTAGCACCTTCGACGCCGCCACCTTGCATAAGGCCAATAAAAGGCCTATCGACTTCCCTCCATAACACACCCCTCCCCGTTAAGTCCATTCAAATCCCTTGACAAAGTTTAACAGATGGTCCAAGAGCGCCCGTGAGCTCTTCCAATCAATCAAACCGATATCCTCCAAAAAAATGTCTTCTCCTACGCATCAGGACGGGGAACTCGTTGAGGACGTGTTTCATGTTCTTTACCACCCTGATGTCATTGCATTCGCGGTAAACATTCGATGAGGAAATTTCCAACTTCCTCGCAACTTTTCCAAATAAACAGTGTCCAATCAAAATGCCAACTGCAATATTGACATTCCTCCTGCTCAATGCCAGCAGATTTCTCGTTCTTGTTAATTCCATTCTTACAAATCAAATTTTCCCGCCGCACTTTACAGTAAATTTAAGAGCAATCGTTATTATAAAATATGATTTACATAGCTAAATAATACAAAGACATTTTTGTACAGAATATTTTTGAAAATCTTCAACCGCTGTTTTAAACAAATTGTAAAAGATTACGGAACCCAAAACGGAACAGAGTTAAATCTCATAAATAAAATAATTGTTAGATGGAAATTTTTTTTTTCATTGTTGATAAACGCGAATTTTCCTCTAAAATAAAAAATAGGCAGAAAATGCTAGTCAAGCAAAATACGTTGTGGCAATTAGTATAACAAATAAAATAAAAAAAATCCCCCAACTAACATTTTTAACTTTTGACATTTTTCTTTTAATTTGTTTATTTTAAACTTAGAAGAAATATTTTCAATTTTATTTACACAAGCAATTGAAAATGTTCTGGTAGTGAATAAATTTTTTGTCAAGGATCACATATCTACTACAGGCATGTGTCGCGTATATGACGACATTTATATATGTAGACATATATATATGACAAAATTAAATGAAAATATGGAATAGATACATAAGCATCTGCAATGTTGCATTCGCTCCAATGCTTTGCAATAATATTCGAATCAATTGCATAAATAAATCTTGAATAAATTTTTGGTATAATATACTAGTACGTTATATACAAGACTTTGGTCCCCGTGAATGTATTTGCAATATTCATGTCTTATATATTTTGCAAAATATTATTTGAATTCTGTTCATTTGTTGTTCGCTTTTAATTGTTGAAAGTTGATAACCCTATACTTGATGCGTATAGTGTTCATATGATATTCATTATAACTTCATTTAAATGGTTGCATATTGTAAATCGTTACTTTTTTTGACAATCACACATGCACTTTTTAAAGAACGAAAAATTCCTTGTTTAATACTTATTTTAAATACAAGTGAAACCAACTGATTATTTTGGGTTTGGCCAGAAAAAGCCTGATATCTTCCTCTTGGTAGATAATATTAAGCGAACAACAATCTATCACGCATGATGCCTTTTGGATATCCCAAGTTTCCAATGTCCAAAATCTGAAATGTAAAAAATATTAGTTATGCATTTTATAACTTTTTATGCAAAATGTGTAGTCAGTTCAATTTTTGATTAGTTCCAAAATACTTGAAATTGGCTGCCAAAGTTTATTAAATCTAATAAACTCTAATATTGTATCTTTTCCATCTCAATGCAGTATATAATACAATTTTTGTTTTTGCTTTATGAGCTAAGGAAAATACCTTTAACATCATAAAAATTTATAATTTGGCATTAATTTATATAACTTTATAACTCATACAAACAAACTAAATATTGAAATACACGTTTTATAAATCAATATAATTGCACACTTAATATCCTTAATATCCATGAAACCTTATACATACATAATTCACTTTGTATCGTGTAAAATTCACGTGCACAATTTTTTTTTTCGTTTCGTTTTCGTTTTTTGTGTTGTTATACTTAGTACGTACATAAAGTTATTTTTTAAATATAGAATAAAAATAAACTGTGTGTTACCATCGGTATTAAATATGTGAAAACATTTGTTTTAAGCAATTTCAGTTGAAATTTTCATTAGATTTTTTTTAAAAACAGTTTTTTATTGGAATTCGGCAGTTTGAGAAAGTATAGTCACTTTATTAATATGTAGTTAACATTCAGAAAATTTTTGACTTCAAGTTTACTGGAAAAATTAAAAAAAAACGAAAACTTAAATTATCTGATCCTTTCACCTTCCCGTCTTAGTCTAGGTTAAAGTTGATGGATTTGTAGTCAATGCAAGTTCGTGGAGTTTTCTCTGACGTAGTATTTATCATTAGCTTCTGCCGGGGGCCATCGTAGTTACTTCGATGTTACGGCGAAATGCTGTCAGATTTTAGCTCGGCTGAGTTGTATAATGTTCGTTATCATTTTTTTCATTGTGTAAAAAACAAGCCGTTGACTTGAAGCCGTTGTTGCGTTGTGTTAGTCTAAATTATTTGGTATTTCATCCCAATATTTAGCAATGATATTCTTAGATTCAAACTTTCAACTAATTTAAATTTTGTCGTAATATTACATTTTTTTTTTTATTTATTTTGTTAATAGATACTTCAATTTCACATATTAGATTGTTGACTAACATGTTTTTGCAAATCTTTTATAGCAGAATATTGCATACTTTTAGACATACCAAAAAAAATCATCCTCCTAAATCAGGTACATCCTTGAAATTTAAAAATATGTTCTTTATGAAATTATTCCATCTATATGTAATAATTGCATGTCTTCTTAAAATTTTGGTACCATATAGTTCTTGTATTCATTTTATTTTTGTCTCTTGTAAAAAAATTTAAGGTCTTATTTAATATTAAGAAGGTATGTACATGAAAACGTCTTAAAGATGAAATTTAAAAATATATGAGGAGAAAACATGAAAAATAAGAAAAAAAAACTAAATGTTTTGGAAATTTTACTGAAGAACTTTTTAATAAATTTTTTTTTACGATTCATAAACAATAAAAAAACATAACGAAGATTTTTGTATTCATCATAAAATACAAAAGCAATAATAATGGTATGGTATTGTTAGTACAGTGATAACAAAAAAAAAACATTTTAAAATGAAAACGTTCTTGTAAAATTCCCTGAGTGTCTGATAGTTTCTAAATGTCATTAATGTGCACCAGATTGCAACTTCATTCATTCTAAATGGTTTCCATAGGATTTTTCTTTTTTTCTGATATTTTTCTTATAATAATAAAATTTGGTATTCAACTTTATCGTAAATATACGTTTTTCTCTTTAGGATACTTATATATATAAATGTATGTTACAGTTAATGTCCCAAATCCTTACAAAATATCATTTGTGTAAAGTAAGTATAATATAAGACCCAGAATATTGCTTTGAAACACACCTGCCTCAATTTCTCTAAGTACTCTTCGTTTTACTTAAT